GAAAAGGCTTTGTTTATTTCATTTTCCGGAGGCGATATGAAAAAAAGGCATAAAGGTTATCTTGAAGGGTTAGTCCATGAAATTCTCATATTGACAGTGTAGTAAGCAGTTGATCTTTTTATAAAATCGATTCAAATTCCCACCTTGGCCTTTGTAAGTAAACTTGACACAATCATTTTTCAAGGCATCAAACCCAAACACCGTCCTGTTTGCAGATCCGTGCCCCGAGTCCAAGGGATGCAAGCAGTACGCTGGCTGTTGCAGCGGCAGTTCATGCCATTCTACGAAGAAAACAGAAAATAAAGCTAAGGGAGACGCCTCTTAGGGACATCAACGGACATGAGACGATACTACTTAAGCAGCCGACACGACTATCATGCCCTCTCGGAAGGAATCTAGCGACGTGCAGTCAAAGAACCCTTTGTTTACTTCAACATAACATTCATTGATTGTAGCTTAAATTAGGAGGTCTCTTTCCGGCCGCCTGCAGAAACTGCAGAAAACGACTGCTAATTTGGTACGGGCTTTTCACACTGATTTTCGACAGCCTTATAAATTTAAGTACGTTTCGCGGGAAACATGAGTAAAAGTACTCTTTCTTGTATTGAGATGGCAGAAAGTTACGGAGTCTCCCAATTCGACACTGGTTGATAGGATATAAGATAGGATATGACGCACAATTGTATCTGAACGTTTAGTACCGTTGTTTATGGAACATTCAACTCGGTCCACAATCAATGCAAAATTGAATGAGAGTTATCTGACATCCTCTTAATAGCATCGAAAATCAATGTGAAAAATGCATATTAAATAATTTATCCTTTTCTGTCTAGTCTAGATTTTCTAGGCGACTGAAATAAAGCTCATTTGAAAGCTGACACCCTGGCGGGGCTAATATATCTCGGGATTATGCTGTACGAAGGTAGAATTAGGTGAGCATTTCCAGCACGAAACAAGATTTCAGACGCCATTGATGTGTCAGCAATGTGTGACTAGTGTTCAGAAGTAGCCCTCCCACTGAACTGCTTGTAACCTTGTCTGCCGATGATAAATTTTGCAGCCTTACTTCTGTAAGTAATCCTTTCTAAATAAAAGTACATTTCGAAAGTTCGACTATAAATGTCATTCAAATGGAGCCTGTCATCAAAATCAGGTTAAAGTTAGTAATTGTACATAAAAGGAGGATTTACCGAAGCCCATTCTGACTGGAAGAAATGCAAGCAAGATGAAATGGAGGCTCATCATATTTCTTAGTCAGTCGCAACTGCTTACCCATTTTTATATACCGCTGAGGTGGTCTGCCCCAGATATCTTCAGTGCCGACAACATTCTCGCTGATATAGGTCTAATTAAGTGGTAAATCAGTGTGCTGGTAGTATTTCTCACGTCTCCTTTTGAATCCGTGCGGTAATTTCCCACCATAACTCTCCCTCTCCTAACATTATCGTAACATGATTATTGCTAAAGTCCATGTGATGAGGGAGGGAGAACTAGGCTGTTTTATAACGCTCAAAAAAGTCCCATTGAGGGGTTTCCTGATTGGATTACTTAAGGACTCAAACTAATGGCCAAACCAATAACGCACGACAGACTCGGTAAATTAATAATGTTAACAACGTGAAAAAATCCCCGATCAAAAATCAATTTAGAATGCTGTAAATCTTTAAAGTCAACTGTCGTGTTTCAGGTGCGAGGTTTATGAAGTTAAATTGGCATTGTGTGGCCTACTTGCCCAACGAACTTGGCTTCAAGACTAGCAAGCAATGCAGCTATCGTCTGTCGAAGTCTGCGTATGTTCAGGTTTCGTCGGGTCATAATTGAGGACCGAGTGCCATCGAGGTCACATAGGAAAGAGCCATTACATTTCGGTAGGAATTTTGGTCAAACTAGTTTTGACCACTGACCACCTCTTTAAAACCAAGTAATTTCGAGACTTGATGCATGTAAGTCAAAGTTACACAAAAAAATTCAGCATAAGCACGCGTTTAATGTCATTTGTGCGGCACGAAACGAATTTTTCTATTTAGTTCTCGGAGCGCACGATCACTAATTTCATTTAATTTATCGATTACTTCCTAACTAACCACTAGTTGCCAATTAATCACCGACAATTTTAATAATTGAATTTCTTTATGATAATAAGTACAAGTGTGCCACTTCAGAAATTCCTGCAGTAGCTGATTGCAGGTCTGGAAGTGGATTCACGATTTCTTAAGCGGTCGCAGACAAAAAGTTACTGCGGTTGGCTACTGCTCATATTGGGCACCTGTTAAAATTGGAGTCCCACGATGGTCCGTTCTTGGGCCGTTCATATTCGTTATCTGTGTAAATGATCTAGTGCGGAAAGTGAAGTTAGACATGGCGTCCTTTGCATATGATCTTAAACTGTGGGGCGCGATAAAAGATGAGAAAGACTCCAAGATGCTACAGGAGGACGTATAGTGCATGACTGATCGCATGAAATGTTGGCCGAAATTCTGAAATGCGTCTTCGATTAGGAAGGATAACGTAGGCGGATTTATAATGATGATTATCCTGCGGCATAACCCTATAACATTCCAGACTCGGAAGGACGTCGGCTTTTAAATATATTTCTTTTCGAACTCCCGTAGAAACCGTACTCGGCAAAGAATGACTACTTAAGTAGCACGCATTTTTCCCATTGACTTTCAATGGTTTTGTATATTTTAATATTTTTTACAGAAACCACAAACAAAAATATGCGTCCTTTCAATCGTTTGACAGAGGATCACGTTATTTTTAGATTTTATACACGAAGAAGAAGTTTAATTGGGTTTTAAAAATACTTCTAACTATGGGATTCTTTAAGAGCGTACAGTATCCATTCACACAGCATTGTACCTGTCCATTTATAACTGCTCCTCATGAAATGTACAAAATAGTCCGCATCCATTGCCGAATTTTATGGACTCCTTATGATATCTTTTTAAAGGCACAGAAGAATGTGTGATTTTCTTTACGCCTAGCGCATGCACCTTGTATACTGAAATCACTGAGTGCTAATGCAACGGCTGATCAGGCTCCAAATTTTTCGCTAATTGGAAAACTTTTTCAGAACTTAATTATACTTCTTCTTCGAGTATCAAACGAATGAAAGGACGCATATTTCTGTTTGTAGTTTCTATAAAATATTTTTAAGTATACAAAACCATCGAAAGGCAATGGGAAAAATGCACACTAATAAAGTAGTCATTCTTCGCCGAGTACGGTTACTACAAAAGATCGGAAAGAAATGCATTCAAAAGCCGACATCCTGCCGAGAGCGAAATGTTATAGGATTATGTCGTAAAATAATCAGTATTACAAATCCACCTAATTAATCCTTCATAATCGAAAATGCATTTCAGAATTCCGGCCAACATTTAATGAAATCGGTAACGCAATGTAGAGGATTTGCACGCATGGAGCGTGAAATAGTGCAGGGAATTTAACTTCCAAGTGTGAAGTGATACACAAAACTCGCAACACCGTCATGACGGTGTCTCCTGGAAAATCGACCACTTGAAAATGCACATATGCAAAAAGACCTTGGCATATTCGTTAAAGACAAGGCAGTGTTCTAAAATTGCAGCGCGGGTAACGTCAGTTATGAGCGCCATGCGAAAAACGTTTATTAGCTTGCATGCGAATGTTTTTGACAAGGTATATGGAACATTTGTGCAGCTCGGCAACCGTGGCTTCGGAAGGTTACAGATATTTTTGAAGGTGTACCACGACGTGCTACAAAAGCTGTTCATAAAGTCAAAAATTTTACATGCGAGCAGCGTCTGCGGTCTTGAATATCTATTCCTTCCATTACAGACAGGACAGAAATAACCCTCTAGTAAAGTTTCAGTCGTTAAGAGCACTTGATCTGAATGTCGACTGCAAAACTCTTTTTGAAATGGCATAAAAAACTGACCCCCAACGGCACAATTACTGGTTAAAGTGGGAACTGTGCACACAAATCAACCTTCCTCCTTTTCCTCTCAGGGAATCATTAACCAATGCAATTCTTTGTCGACGTATATTGTAAATTCCCCTACCGTAAGCGTATTAAGGAGACACCTGAAAAATCACCTGTTAAAAGGCAACGCGAACTCCTCATGCCCGATCTGGCGAATTACTTACATGAACACAAACATACTACTAACATGAATTCAACAGATCCTTTTGTGTAAATAAACTCGACCTGGATGAAAATTTCACAGCGCAAAAGCAGGGAACGTGTTTTCTCGCCGTTATCTAACGAACGCCACACCTTTTCACATTAATGTTTCACCATTAGTTTTATTCGTTCCACACCCTAGAACAAGATGCAAAGTTTTCTGCAACTTAACTATTTTCACTTACTCCCAAACCGTTGAAATGAAGTTTTCAGGACTTCTGTCATTTGCTCCAAATATACTAATTGAAAACTGGTTTTTCTAAGGGGCAAGCTATTCTGTTAGAAGTATTATAAATTTTGATGAACATTTTAACCAAAACACTCCCCAGGGCACTTTGTATAACAAAATTAACTCTGGTAATAACTATGTAGAGTGACTGAACATTTCCCACAGACTACGCATTTCTTTACGCCGTTTTCAATTTTCCCATTCGTCAATAAATCATCCTACGCCAGTCATTTCTGTGCACTGTTTTATGTTATGGCAAGTCAGCCCTGTGTATAAAGCTTGCCGGTGCACTGAAATCGCAAAACACGGCTGGGTTATGTTCCGTAGGCCTCAGAGGCTCCGACATTTCCACATTTCAGCGTGGAATATTACAGTGTAGGTTGCAGGGGATGCACTCAGCGAAAAAAAACTAATATAGCTAATGGAAGGTCAGTCGCGTCTCTCATCGTCGCAGCCCTGTTCATCGCTCGGGAACCGAAGGGGCTATTCGGGGAGCTGGAGCCGACGGGCACTGTCTTTTAGGCGTTCTGCCAGATATGGTCTCGCCACTTGAACTGAGAAAAGAACCTAAAACAACAAGGAGCAGAATGATAAGAAAAGTTGTCACTTGGGTTTCTCTCGTCTCTGTTGATTCCGTTTCTTCTTCTTCTTCTTCTTCTTCTTCTTCTTCTTCTTCTTCCTTTTCTTCAGGATTTGGTGATCGGCGTGCGGAAGATCTGAGAGATCCAGAGTGCCATGTCCTGTCCAGTCATGATGATGCTGCAAATTCCCGATGTCGGGTACTCCGAAGTCGGTCTTAATGACAACCTTTGCTGTGGATCAATGGATGGCAACGTAGGTACGCAGGCAGGCGGGAAATGTATGCCACTGTATTATTATTAGAGGTAGCATTCTTGCAAACCTTTAACACATGCCTATGACTATCGACATACTGCCAACATGATTTCAAAAGATCCTTTTGTGTAAATCTAAATTGACCCAGATGAAAGTTTCCCAGCGCGAATGCACCAAAAGTGTTTTCTCACCGTTGTCTTGCAAATGCCACATCTCTTTCACATTTGTATTTTCCCATCACTTTTATGAATCCCATACATCAAACCACATGCAAAGTTTTTCGCAACTTAACTTCTTTCCACTCACACCGGTACCATTTAAATGGAGTTCTCAGGGCTTCTGTCATTTACTCTAAATATAGTGACTGAAGTCCACTATGCACGAAAAGGGCTGTAAGAAAGTCGTTTTACTGAGGAGAGGTCGCCGCGACCGGAGAGCATGGATGCCGGATGAGTTGACTAGGTTTCTCGAAACGCGAGGAAGGTAACACTAATAATACACGCCGTTGAAGGTGTTGCTTGGATTCTCTGTAGACTGCACTTTCCAGCCAGATGTCATTATTATACGCTCGGACAAGGCGTAGGTCATGGAGTACTCTTTCTGCGATCGTTCAAGATGCCTGAGGCATGCGCAGGAATTAGAAAAGGCCAAAGCGGGTACTGGTGACAGTCTTCAAAACATGCTCCAGAGCAATGGCGATCCGATGGAAGACCCGTACTGCCACTTGGAGAAAGGACATTTCTCTCTTTTAAAATGTTTATTAGTATGAAATGTTTTGAGACCGAAATAAATCAACCATTAAAACATCATGTCCGTTCATTACTTCATTCTGCTTTTAAAGTACACAACATGGTTCATATTCGCTGCAAAAACACAGGGGCCGTATATGAAGTCTTCTTAATAGCATGTAGAGATACGTGATTTTCCTTACATAGGAGGCATGCAGTTTAAATAAGGAGGGACGACAGAGGATGCGGGTAGATTGATACAGTACTGTTTCGGGCTTATTACGCCTTGCTGCAATTATGACTTGGCCGACTTCGGCACTGATGAACTTCGGTACGATGAAGTGCCTATGACCCATCTGGTAGACCCCAGTGGTGGGTCAGCTGCGCCAGGTGCGTCTGAGAGCATGTTTGTGTTTCCGATACCAGCTGGTGGTCAGGGTAATGACTGGCTGAATGAAGGCAAACAAGCCCGAAACAGTGCTGTATCAATCTACCCCCAGACTCTGTCGTCTCTCCCCTCTGATATCATAGCTTGGCCGACTTCGGCCTGGTAATTGGTTGCCTGTTCGTGACCCCTATCGCCCATACGAAGCTTGTTTGCATCGGGAAGCCAATGGATCGGTGTGCGCCCATTCCTGCGTGAATATATATACATAAACATATATATGTAGATCAGAGATGTTATGCATTCCGAGTCAATATAATGAAAACAGGAAGAGATTTTTCGGAAAAATCGAGTTGTACTCGTGAATTTTCGAGCTGGTGACACCAACCCGTCGTCAGACGAAATGAAAACAGGGGAGGAAGTTTGTTTGTCACACTGGAATAGTTAGCGCGACAGGGCAGACAGACTATCGGCCTATGAGAGGGATGATCACAAAGTCATGGTAGGTCTCCGAGCGAGGGGGGAGGTGGAACAATTATGGATGCCTGTGCTGGAGGGGGGGGGGTGTAATGGTGGATCAATTGGACTCCGCGTGGCTAGATTGGCGGCCGTTGCTGTGGCATCAGGGCAGGGGGCAGTAAGTCGTGAGCGTAGGCCCTCATAATGGGCGTCCAGATCAACATGGCGGTTGATACTACCAGCATCGGAGTACCAAGCCTCGAGAAATTCTCTCGCCCGTTTTGTGTTAACCATGGCGACGACCTCAGTGCCATCCCAATTGAATCGGTGATCGCACTCGAGTGCGTGAGCAAAGACGACGGACAGAGGGTCTCGCCGACGGACAGCCCGTTTGTGTTCGTTAATACGGGTGCCCAGGCTTCGACCTGTATGACCAACATACACGCAAGAGCAATTTCAGCACGGGATGCGATAAATTACGTTTGTTAGTTGCTCTTTGGGGAGGGGATCCTTGATTCGAGATAGCGCCGCGCGTAGTGAGGATGCTGGTTTGTGGGCGATGCGAATACCAGAGCGATTTAACTGCCGGGCGATTACTTCAGACGCTCCTTGCATATAAGGCAGAGAGAAGAATTGTCGAGATACAGTTTCTCCGTTGAGGGTGGGAGCTTGCGTTCGAACTCTGTTCCACCGGGCCTATCGTTATTGCAACAGCGCCGATCTCCTTAAGAAAGAGCTTGCCTACTTGTATCGGTTGTTTCGATCCAACGGATATCCGACAAGTTTCGTAAAGAACTGCCTCAGACACCAGGCACAACCGCAAGCTCCCACCCTCAACGGAGAAACTGTGTCTCGACAATTCTTCTCTCTGCCTTATATGCAGGGAGCGTCTGAAATAATCGCCCGGCAGTTAAATTGCTCTGGTATTCGCATCGCCCACAAACCAGCATCCTCACTACGCGCGGCGCTATCTCGAATCAAGGATCCCCTCCCCAAAGAGCAACTAACAAACGTAATTTATCGCATCCCGTGCTGAAATTGCTCTTGCGTGTATGTTGGTCATACAGGTCGAAGCCTGGGCACCCGTATTAACGAACACAAACGGGCTGTCCGTCGGCGAGACCCTCTGTCCCTCGTCTTTGCTCACGCACTCGAGTGTGACCACCGATTCAATTGGGATGGCACTGAGGTCGTCGCCATGGCTAACACAAAACGGGCGAGAGAATTTCTCGAGGCTTGGTACTCCGATGCTGGTAGTATCAACCGCCATGTTGATCTGGACGCCCATTATGAGGGCCTACGCTCACGACTTACTGCCCCCCGCCCTGATGTCACAGCAACGGCCGCCAATTTAGCCACCCGGAGTCCAATTGATCCACCATTACACCCTCCCCCTCCAGCACAGGCATCCATAATTGTTCCACCTCCCCCCTCTCTCAGAGACCTACCATGACTTTGTGATCATCCCTCTCATAGGCCGATAGTCTGTCTGCCCTGTCGCGCTAACTAGTCCAGTGTGACAAACAAACTTCCTCCCCTGTTTTCATTTCGTCTGACGACGGGTTGGTGTCACCAGCTCGAAAATTCACGAGTACAACTCGATTTTTCCGAAGAACCTCTTCCTGTTTTCATATATATATATATATTTGTATTTAAAGATTTGAACTCACAATTATTATCTTGGCCCTTGCCTGCCAGCCATAGCCTCCCAGGCTGCCAGCAACGGTACCGTTAGTACGTTTCTCATTCTGCCCTTTAAACTATTGCTTCTCCGTCCAAATCTTCCACCCAAACTCCAGTCTAGGAAGAAAACACTTGCAAAGGGCCTCATTTCTGGCATTTGCTTCAACACTGCGCGTCTAGGGCGTACTTTCGCGCACGCGACAATGAAAATCTGGTTTTCGGCCAATCACAGCTATTGAACTTGCCCAATCAACTTCAAGGCCGACTCTGAGAGTCCGTTCCACCCAGGCATTCTGATGCCTGCCCGACGACTCTCTGACACTTGCTCTACCTGTGCTGGACATGTGCCATCGTCAGGCTGCAAACTTGCTCCAACTTGTCCTTCATTAATTCTGCACAGAATACACTGCTATCTCTACTGCTGTTCAACTTCTCTTTATGTTTGGGATTGGCCTGAAGGTTTTAGTCACCGGGGTCAGCCTCGAACTTAAATTGATTCGATATACTGTTGAAGGTATCACTTAAGAGATCGATAACCAATGAGACTCAGGAGCACAAATGCAAGGGGATGGGCTGGCCGTATTTTAGTCTTGCCCTACTCTCCAAACAACAAATCCAAATACCAAATATGACTTTGCCTTCTAACGTCCTTCGCGGTGTCTCTAGTAATCGCATATACAAGGCCTATGAAGGTTGCAAGCACGGTCAATTCACTTCTTAAATGATTGCGGGGAATTGACTTTTTTTAACAAATGAAGAATAGTGAAGTCGTCGTCGTTTAGTAATGTTTGCTGCCTCGAGAATCGTCCCATTCTGTCCTGCCCCCTGTCTTCGTTGCACGTGATCCTGTCTCCTAGTCACCTGCGTGGATTTCCTAGGTCCCTCGACCCCTGTTCCAGGTCTCTCCAAGCCTCCTGCAGAGCTTTTTTGCCCTCCGTTGACAGGATTGTTGATAATCGTTCTAGCATTCGCCTGGCTGTCATCATCTCCACCCCCCGGGACCCCTCGCTCTCACCTGGATATGCTGGAGGCTTGCAAATTGCAGGCCAGACTACGGTAGCCGATAAACATCCAGGCTTTGCGTGATAAATTGTGCTTCATGGTCTTTTTCTTCCACGGAATAAAGCAACCAGTAGGCCCTGTTGGAGGGTTTGAAAGGAAGGCGCATGCTCGTATTTTCCAGGCGTGACCACCTAGAAAGTGCTCACATGGGAGTGACGCCGTTACGAAAGACGCGACAGTTGGTCAACGAAGCCCGCCAGGCGTTGGTGTCGCAGAGTCATGATGCGAAGGACCCTAGTCACTACAATCTCCTGGCCACTCCAAAATAGTAAGAGAAGTGCTGGACGCCAGCGAGGAAGAGGGTTTATTCTGTACGGAATAAGGAAATAAAGCTGGCGGCCGGACAAGTGTGCATCCGGCGCCATGACAGAGGCCTCTCCGCGCGCGCTGTAAGCTGCTGCCGCAAGTGTCGAGGCCAGTTGTTCTCGCCATTGGTCCACTGTGTCCGTTTGTGTGGCCAATCAGCGAAAGGGCTGCGTTGATTGGCTCCAGGCCCACGCGAAGGTAGTTACAAGCCCTTGTGGCAGCCCGCTTCCACGATCTTCAGCACGGCCACTTACCCACGCCATCTCCGCGGTTGGGAGCGGCACTGGCCTGGTGAGAGCTCAAACCCCATCGAGGCTGCGTCCTCCGTTGATTGGCCGCAGGCGACGGGGCACACGCGTGACAACAACAACCGCCTGGAGAGGCGGCCAGCTGCATACTGGACTGACCGTAAACCCTCCTGCGTCTGGAGACTAGGTGGCGAGCATACGTTTGCTTTCGATACACTCTCGTCATGCCAGTACATGCACATGGGAACGGGGCTCGGTATTTGACGCGAGGCGCAGAAAAAATTGGTTCGAAAGACAGTGGTAGAGGGTGCTCACGGATCGTTCCTACGGAACTCACTGGTTCCGTTGTGCCTTAAGGGCTCTCTCGAGCCCAACCAGCAGCCGCACAGCGGCGCATGATATATCGGCAGAATGATATTCCTGACAAAGACAAGGGAGACTGGAATGGCCATTTCTGGCTTATTAGCCGTCGTCAGCCAGCCATACCCGAGCCCGAAGTGTGGAACACCCGAGCCTCGAACTCGCGACCTGTTAGTGAGAAGTCCGCGCCTCCAACCTCAAGGTGTTCCACACTTTGGGGTTAGGTATGACTGGCTGACGACGGCTAAAAAGCTAGAAATGGCCATTCCAGTCTCTTTTGCCTTTGAAGCAGTGTTATCCCGGAATAAATTTGAACAAGGCAAAGGCGACAAAGCATGCAATATTTACTGACGGCATACATTTCGAGACCTCTCATTCAGCTGCGTACGGACATTGCATAGTTATATAAGAAGGCAAACTGTTCAATCAACGACCGACCTAGAGAGATAACACGTGGTAGTAACTTGAAACATTGGTCTAGTATGTGGCTGCATATGGCGAGGGGTGAGGGGGAGAGAAGTCATCCAATTATGAGAGTTAGGACTACAGTGAGAACTTGTCCGACGTGATTTAGAGTGCAGCATGCGGGGAGCATTCAGTCATGCTGATGAGGGGGGGGGGTGGGGGCGCAATGAGAGAGCGCACATGGGAACAAGGTTTCGTCCATAATCGATCCTTACCATGTTAGTGCCAGGTTTATCACGTGATTCAACTGCTTACAGAGTTCTGATTTCCTCCTCCGTATTGCAGCGGCCTCTGCAAAGTGCAAGAGACGCTTGGTCGTCGCCCGAAACAGGACCTTGAATGCAATCATTGGGTCCACCGTATGGCCCGTGTCCACTAGGTGCTTTGTGATTGAGCTCCTGGGTACCTTATATTCCGTCTTAAGCAGCCACTTCGGCATGTGTTCAGCTGACCGAGCTGCCAACTGCCTCTGCGTGCGCCCAATGTACTTGCATCCGGAACTACATGTAAACTCATACAGTTTGATGGGGCGTGCATAGGCAAAATGTCTTCAACTGGTCTAACTGGGATGGCCGTTGCTTGATTATGAACAACAATTTAGAGGCGACATACGCCCTTTCGATAGTGCACCGAAGTCGTCGTTTGATTACGTTTTACAAGTTATCACCCATGAAGGGGAGGTAGATTGCCACGGACGTTTTAGATGCAGATAATTCTTCAGGAGTTTCTTGTCTGGGATAGCGATATTTATCGATGAATTTCTCTGGATACCCGTTTGTAAGAAAAACTTTCTTTAGGAAAGTAAGCTCGTCATCGATCGTATCTGAGGAGCAGATTCTGGTGGCCCATTGAACAGACACAAAACCAAGTTCTGTTTTCTCTAAATTGTAACGCAACTGAGGAAGTGCGTGTATTGTCCTTTCCAGGTGGGTTTTCGATATATGGATCTCTAAATAGAGCCATCTGACCGTCCTACGCAGCTGAATGAGAGGTCTCGAAATTTATGACGTCAGTAAATACTGCATGCTTTTCGACTTTGCCTCGTCTTTTGTCTTTGTCGGTAATGTCATTTCGACTGACATTGTTGATGGGCAGCTTCGAAAGATCCTGGGCTTGCTTCGCGAAAATGGGTATCCTGACAGGTTCATCATAAAGAATATTGCCTAGCGACAGGAAAAACCCACAACACTGACTGACGAAAAGAAAACCCTGTACCTAAAAGTCCCTTTTCAAGGAGACGCTGCGAGTGAACTCCTAAGCAGACGCCTTCAGCAAGCTGTCTCACGAAACCTCATAACAGCAGGGGTTTTAATGTTATTCTTTACCTGCTCTACTTTACGCGAGGAAGGGACGGGTGGGTTGCCATATCAGACTACGTCAGTGTGCATACACCCCTTTACTTTTCCCAAAAGGGCAGGTTATATTTGTCACACGAGTCGGCGCCTATCCAAGAGAATATGAGAACACCTCACAGCGTGGTTGGGAAAAGGCGAAATTAGGAGTATACGTGGCGCCATTCTCGCGCATGTTGTCGATTACGGACATCACGTAGACAACAATGAAGCGTTTCGTGTGATTTATAAGGTCCCATCGAGCTACCCTAAGCTACTAGGCCAGCGCCTGTTAGCGACAGCGGAAGAGGCCGCCATTACGTTACGAAAGCCAATCTTCGGTGCACAGAAGAACCACGTTCAGGCACCGCGACTACAGTGGTCGAAGGTCGAATGACGGCGCAACTCCCACCGCGCACTTCCGCTCTCACCCCGCTCCTGACAGTGACTGCTATTACTCTCCCCTCCCCCACATTCCCACACCCCGCCTGTGTTAAGGGAGAACTTTTATCGATTTATCTTATCGCTGACATGTTTTACTTCTACCCCGTTCCTATATAACTGTGCTGGCCCGACCAAAATTGTTCGCAAGCTACGTATGCTCGCCATCTCGTCTTCTGATTATTCGCAAGTTGATTCACACGGTTAGCAAAGGACAAAAAAATCAATTTCCAACCGCGATAAGTTCGTTTTAGTAAAACTCATGTTTTCTTGTAATTTATAAGGTCCCCTTGGGCAACCCTGAGCTTCTGGACTAGCGCATGTTAGTGACAGCAAAAGTGGTCGCAATCGGGTTACGAAGGCCAATCTTGTGCGCGAAGAAAGACCTCTTCCAGACTCTGCATTTGCCTTGGCCAAAAGTCGACTACATACTTGCACCTCAACGCGCCCTTCTGTTTTTATCCTGTCTATGATCAAATTCTCTAATCACTGCCATGTTTTACTTGATCCCGTTGCCATGTAAATGTACAGGCCTGACGAGAATTCGTCAAAAGAAAAATATGCTCGTTAACTTGTCTTTTAGATACTGCACTGAGAATTTCGAAACTCTAAAACAGCCTTATGCCTAAACTAAAAAGTTGGCCAACCTAATTTGATTACTCGGATTTGTGATTTGGGGTTCCTAGTTTCTCGACCCATCGCATCTCGACAGCCTATACAGATGTCCGATAACTACAATAAATGCGCAATCTCATAAAATGTTAACCAAAGTTCTAACATATTTTTTCGATTCAAAAATATCATCTAAGTAGAGTTGTGACATTGCTTTTTTGTGTATTATAATTCCAAGATGTCTCAGTCACTTAAGGGTGTCGGTTTTTGAATACAATCCTTTTCGCCCGCATGCAAAACTACACTTTGTAAAAAACGATTGCTCAAATACTGTGAGTTCTTCCCACTGACTGCTAGCGTCCGTATAAATTCAAATATGTTTTAGGGAAAACGCGCACAAAAGTATTTTTCTTTTTACTCATTTGGTAAAAAAAGTGTTTGTCCTTTAATTTGAGGCCTGCTGAGAGGATTTGTATCGTTTTTAATAACCTTCGATTTTCGAATGATTTTGAACCCGACCTGTTGTTGCGCTTGCATCCAGGGTTTCCAATTTACAAGCTGTACATTTTTCGTTGAAGAAAATTCACACACTTTTATGTGCTGTCAACAAGATGTCATATAGGGCTCATAACATTTTGAAATAAATTTGGACCGTGTTGTATACTTTATAAGCAGCATTTATGAGTAGGCAGGTGGGATGCTTTATGAATGAACACTTCACGGGTTTGAAAAACCTGATGATTAGAAACTTTTTAAAACGAAAAACCCTTTTACCCAAGTAGAAAGTTTGAAAAAGACGTTAGATATTGCGAAATAACTATGAGAAAAAATATTTATGTATCCTTTCAATAAAATCAGAGGGTTTTTTGCAGGTGGCCGAAAAGTAGACCATTTAAAGTCGATATCTTCATGTGAATAGAACATCTTGGGATAATTCTGCGTGATAAGTAGTATGACAACCCCTAATTTGGCAACCTCTTTGAACCGAAAACACATATTTAATAATTTCGGTTAAGATCCCATGAAGTAGCACCTCTACTCTGTCTTCCTCAAGGGAAGTAATTTCATGTTCCATTCACTGAAAGCAGAAAACAAAAAGCCCTCAGGAACACGCGGGTTAATTAGGTTGATCAAAGTTAAGCTATTTTATTCTTATTTTAATGCAACTGTGAAAAACTCGATGATCTCAGTGGGACTCGAAGCCCCGACAACAATGGAGACGGTTTGAGCACAACCAACATTCCACCTATATCTCGAATAAAATAGAAAAATATTTAAAAATTCCCGAAAAGGTCCAAGCGGTGGGACACAAGCGCATCTGTCTTGAAGCCGGATAATAAAGTCTAGGAAGGTTTCAGAATCTTCCATCACCGAACGGATGTGACCATTGTTTCAGAAATGCACTAGATTAAATTTTGAAAGGAGTACGAGAACACCGCATTTAACAAACTATCTTGTCGCAACGCTGCAAGGAGGACGAAGCTAGAAGAAGGGATTTCCTTTGCGAAGCATCCTAGTAAGTTCCAACCCAATAAACCATCAAGATTCACAACGCCACGCTCCTAAGTGCATTTCGTTTAAAAAATCCTATCACCTAATTAGGTTCTCAATCACATACCTTCAGGGACTGTCAGTTTACGGCGGAAAAAGGGAGACTCATTACACAACGAAAGGCCCCTTTGCATGACATGAAAACCGGAACCGCCTGCAATACGACTGGCTTCGAGCCATCTTTCAGTGGAACTAGAGTTAGGGTTAAGGTTAGGGTTAGGCTAGGAAGTGTGTTTAGGGCAAGATCATCAGTTAACGGGAAGGTGAGTTAAGGTAGTGTCTAATGTTAACTGCAGAGTGAAGGTGCCGATTATAAGACGAGGTGGCGAGCATAGGTAGCTTTCGACAAATTCTCATCGGGCCAGTACATTTACGAGAACACCTCCCG